GAGCTTCACTCTCTCGACTTCAGCACTGCGTTCTTGCAGGGTAGCCTGCACGAGGAGATCTGGCTTCGCCGTCCACCTGGCTTCACTGGGACTTTCCCTCCTGGCACCCAGTGGAGCCTCCGACGGCCAGTCTACGGTCTCCGCCAGGCACCGCGTGAGTGGCACGACACACTGAGGACTACGCTTGCGGCTCTTGGGTTTGCTCCTTCTACTGCTGACCCGTCGCTGTTTCTTCGCACCGACACTTCCCTGCCGCCGTTCTACATCCTCGTGTACGTCGACGACCTGGTCTTTGCCACAGCGGACACTGCTGGACTCGCCTACGTGAAGTCCGAGCTGTTGAAGAGACACACGTGCACAGACCTGGGTGAACTGCGCAGCTACCTTGGCTTGCAGATCACTCGGGACAGAGCACGCCGCACCATTACCTTGACTCAGTCACACATGGTGCAGCAGGTCCTTCAGCGCTTCGGCTTCACGTACTCCTCGCCTCAGGCCACTCCTCTGCCTACTCGCCACTCACTCTCAGCTCTGCCTTCGGATGAGTCCGTAGAGTCGAGTGGTCCGTATGCGGAGCTTGTTGGCTGCCTCATGTACCTGATGACCTGCACACGACCTGACCTTGCATACCCTCTTAGCATTCTTGCACGCTATGTTGCTCCTGGGAGACACAGACCGGAGCACATGGCTGCAGCAAAGAGGGTATTGCGCTACCTGTGCAGTACTTCGGGGATGGGGCTAGTGCTTGGAGGGCGGAGTCCAGTGGTCCTTACCGGCCACGCGGACGCGTCTTGGGCTGACGACCAGGCTACGCAGCGGTCGTCACAGGGTTACACCTTCAGCCTTGGTTCCGGCTCTGTCTCGTGGCGGTCTACTCGCTCGTCTTCGGTTCTCGGCTCCAGTTGTGAGGCTGAGATCTACGCCGGGGCCATGGCTGCACAGGAGCTTCGCTGGCTCACCTACCTGCTGACTGACCTTGGAGAGCCGCCTCGTTCTCCTCCAGTGCTGTACGTAGACAACAAGGCTATGCTGGCCTTGTGTCGAGAGCAGCGCTTGGAGCACAGAACGAAGCACATTGCTCTCCGCTACTTCCTTGCTCGTGAGCTGCAGCAGCGTGGTCAGTTGCGACTTGCGTACGTGGCCTCTGAGGCCAACACTGCTGATGTGTTCACCAAGGCACTTGCGCCTTGTGACCATCAGCGCTTCTGCACCCAGCTGGGTCTTGTGCCTGTCTTGCCTCACTTGCTCTCCTCTTGACTTCACTTGTACTGTGACATATATATATACCTGCTCTTGCTTGTCTAGCTTTATATATATGTCTGTACTCTTGCTTGTGAACTGGCCTTTGGCCTTGCTCTTGTGCTCGGACTGTGTGGTGACTTTGTGATCCACCCTGAGCTTTGCTTTGTCTTGCTTGACTGGTCTTGTGACCCCTTGTTCTCCCCCACTTTGCCTATGGGGGTGTGTCAGAACATATCTATAGCTTATACTGCTGTGTAGGCTGTAGTGGGGTATCCCATAGGGGGTACAACCCAGTTAGGGTTTCATATTTGTACTGCTTTCATTCATAGTTCATTCATTCCTGTTTTCCTATTCTCACAGTTTTACCTAATTCGCACAACTACGCAGCACGTGACGTTTGTTTGTTCATTCGAGGGCCTGAAACTGTGCAAAGATAGGCCAGTACGCAACATGTCACCATTTGATCCTTTGATGGTTTTTTTTAGCACCATTTTTTTCACACATTCAGGTATTTCAATCAAATACCTTGCCATTTGAAGTGGTTTGAGCTCATTCGCACAACTACGCAGCACGTGATGCTTGTTTGTGCGTTCGATGGTCTGGAACTGATCAAGGATATGACAGTACGAAACATGTCACGGTTCCATTGTATGGTGGTTTTGTTTTGCACCATTTCTTCACACATTCATGTATTTCAATCAAGTACCTTGCCATAGGAATTGGTTTGAGCTCATTCGCACAAGTATCCAACCCGTGACGCTTGTTTGCGCATGGGTTGGGGCGAACCAGACAAAAAAAACCCAACTTAATAGTATTCTAGAGGATACCTAAATCTATCGTTTAAAACAACAAAAAAAACCCAACTTAGTAATTCCCAACACTTAGCCAATTCTGTGGCTTCCAATATGGCATTTCTGTGAGACACTTTTTGAAATGTAATATGTTTGTAAGCACACAAATTTGTACATAATGACTGTTTTGCTTGTTTCTGACCACATCTCTACGCGATCTCCCTTTAGCGACTTGAATTTTACTTGTTGTTGACCAAGGTTACACTTGGCAGCTGTCCCCGCAAATACATTTGCAGCCAATCCAAGCTCAGGCTTTTGACACCCTAGCTGATGCACATCCTTCTCTAGCGATATGAGAGGTGGCGGCGGGTGAGCCATCGAGGCGACGAATCATAATCGTTGCCGTGTTGCACAGAGAAGTGCTCTGATTGGTGCTTTGCTGGTGCATGAACCAGAATCTTCACAAGTTGGTGCTTCGCTGGCGCACCAGCAGGGAAGTGCTCTGCTCGCTGCCTCCCTGGAGCACCACTACCCAGTTTCTCGCACCCCAGACTTCAGCTCTCCCTATCGAGGGCATTTCATTTTCATCACCGATCTCTTCATTTCTGCCGACATCACCAGGGCCAGCGCCAGCGCTAGTCGCAGCAGCAGCCGTAGTGACTAGTGCACATTTCTTTTTTCGCGCTCACCTTGTGCATACCTTCGACTCTTTTTTTCGTCTCACTCGTACTCGCTACTACCTTCGTTGCAGGGAATCATCCGTCATTTGGAAGTCGTGATTATTAGGTAAGGCTTTGCACTACCGTGATGTTTATTTAATTGTCGCGCAATGCTGCACGGTTTCCTGCCTTCTCCTTGTACTTAATGTCCCCTCGTGACTTGCGTTGTGTATCTTCCCTTTACTTCACAGGGAAAAATGACATCTCATTGGCGTCTCATCCCGTGGGTAGTCGAGTTTTGCTAATCGTGTATTTTTTTGCAGGTTGTGTATTACGAGCGCGTCCGCACCATTGATGGTTGCCGCCTTTTGTGGTTGCTAGTCACAACGTGATTTCTGACTCTGACCCAGATGCTTTGAATCGACGCCAAGCTGAGTTAATTGGCAGTAACTCCTGTGGTGGTCGTCTTTTCTCTTATCGTATGTTTGCAGGTCGTGATTTATGTACGCTTCGTATCCCGTGCAGGATTGTGCAGGAGTGCTGTTTTTTCTTTGTGCAGGATTTATGCTTGGTCGTTACTACTGCTAAGTTGTGGAATGTATTTAATCCCATGGTTGAACGTCACTATTACCTCTGTCATGTCATGCCGTGTATGTACATTAACATATTATATCCACTAAAAATTTTACACGGTTAATCAATGATGTTTTCAGTTTAATCAATGATGTTTTCAGTTTTTTTGAACCAATTATGGAATGCAGAAATCAGTAACACCGAGAGTAGTTTTCTAATTTATATCCGATCACGATTCCCGATTCGACAAAACAAAGCATACTCTAACATTTACATGTGGTAATATGTTTTACTGTAGTTCGGCCTCGCCCGCGAAGAATGACGAGTCACTCTATGGCGAACAGTCACACTTCGATTTCTTCACAAATGTTTTGCATCAACCCGAAACTCTTGACCGGAGAAAAAAAATGTACGGAACCTTTTTCCGCAATTGGCTGTGTACAGTACTTGGGCGCTGCAAGGAAATGGCGAGTTTGATTTTGGAGGGAAACCAGGGGTTGGGAATGATGCCGGATGGGGTGTCGAAATCAACCTGCAAGTAACACGCTGTAAGTGTGTAATGCAACACGCCAATCCCAGGCATCGCGAAAAATTCCCCAGCGATGCCTATCAAACATCAAGCCACTGGATGGCATGCTGTTTGACACACAGGTATAGGTTCCGATGTATGGCGACGGGATCTCCCCCTGCAGCTCTGCCGTGAGTCCTGCAAAGACTTCAAGCCTCTCCCTCTCGTTCTCTCGGTAAGCTTCCAGCTGCTCCTCCCTGGCCAGCAGAAGCGTTTTCGTCTTGTCATCCGTCGGTCCACCCATGACCATATGTCTTAAAACCGGAGGTCCAAGAGTTTCAAAGTTAGGAAGGTTGAAAGGAGAGAGAAACGTGACTGGCTCGTGAGCCAGGCTTGTGTTGAAATTGGTGGTCTGGGGTCGCAAAGGAAGAAAACTTCGCGAAAATAACCAGATCTGGAATGCAACGTCAGAACTGGTTCGCAGACAGTTTCGGACGGGCTTCAAATTTGTTGGCGAAATCGTCACTGCTTTCGTCCTCGCTAGAACAGTAGTTTCTCGTGACGAAAATTGTCCCCCCGTTAGGCAGGACGTACTCCGAGCCTACCCGTCTTGTTCAAACCTTCTACCACCACCTCCTGTATAACCTTTCTCACCCCTCTTTTTCCCCCTTGTCGCATGGAACCTTCAAACGCGTGAACGCGTCAAACGCGTGCGCGGAGGCGAATTGGGGCGGGGTTGGTAGGAGGTGACCGTCGCGGATCGATCCCGAGCCTTGGGTGACAGGTTCGAAAATACAAGGGGGAAAAACTCTCGATCCTACAAAAGCCGAGATCGGTGTGGCCACAGAGGCACATCGATCATCAGCGGAGGTGACAAGATCGTTGGGCACCAGTTACTGTACAGTCGCAAGCCATCTCGACATTAGGTTACCCTGTCAATTGCGACACTGTAGTTGTCCCTCGATCGATCGAGGGCTGGATCGATCGAGGGAGGAGACGCGGCGCACCTAGCAAGTGTTGGGAAGAAAACAACAGTCACGAGGGTTCCAACAGGCCCTTCCTGCGAGCCTCTCTGTCCTTCCTTACCAAGGCCTTTCTGTGAAAAGAGCTGACGCGATCCATCATCCCATTTCTGTTTTTGCAAGGCCTGTGAATCATGCACTCAAAACGACGATGGCGCTTAGAGGAACGCGTTCCCTGCGGCGACTCCTGTCGCAGCAGTCGCACATGGCCAAGGCCTTGCCGCGCCCGTCACAGGCTGCGTCCCGTCACACATCTCCCGCCCGGCGCGCACAGAAGCTCCGTGGAGCGCACGATGCACCCCACGCTGGGATCGCTGCGATGCCCATTTACGCACACGTGCCCGATTGCCCTCCTCACCTCTCTGCTCTACCACTTACCACCAACGCCTCGACGTGTCTGTGAATCAGTCAGCCCACTATTAAGAACGCTCGCCCTGGGATCGCTCCGCTGCACGTTTGCTACTCTGGATGTCGCCTGTCAGTGCTCTGCTGCCTCTCGCGCAACCGTCTTGTGCGCGCCTCCTCTCGCCATCCGAACCAGCGCCGGTTGTCGGAACTCGTACAGTGCTCAAAGCGGAAGAGCGAGCAGCACCCAGCGGAAGCGGCCGCACGGGGAATAGCAAGGCCGTGCGTGCGCTGCTCGCCATCGTCGCCGTCATCGCCGGTACGCTCCGTGCTCGTCGCTCTCTCACCCGGTGCTCTCATGCGCCTCGTGTTCACGCCATCGAATTCCATATTCAGTTCACCACATGACCATAGCATACCTGATACGACCGTTCCAACGAGCACGCCGCTGCCTCCGTGCCCCTCAAATGCGACCTGTCCCGCTCTTGCAGCGTGTGACATGCAGCCGTCGCAAGCAGCAGCGAGCATGTCGGTCGCAGTGCACGTTGGCACGGTGATGGTGATCGACGGGCGCCCAATCACCTTCTCGTCGCGCTGTGCCAACATTCCGTCCAACGGCGGTGCTGTGCCGTCGCAGGTGCACCAAGGAAGCGATCCTAGCAAGGCTGCCTGCAGCGCAATCCGGTTCTTTCAGGATCTAGGGTGCACAGGACAGGAGTTGGCCAGCTTCACCATCGGCATGTCAAGGTGCATTTTCTCCCCCGCCTGACCACAATCGTGCACTCTTATGCTCGCTGCTCGGCTCTTCTCCCACACCTGACCAACGACCCGTGCACATGTGGCGCCCTCCCCCTGTGCGCAGTTTCATGAATCTCCCGCTTGCAGTGAAGTCCGCCCACTGCATCATCGCTTGCCTTGCCCCGCCCTCATCTCCTCTATTCCTCTCCGTTCAAAGTCGTCCTCTCTCTCTCTCTCCTCTCTCTCCCCCCCTCTCTCCCCCTCTCTCTTTCACTCACTCACTCACTCTCATGCCACACTATCACATGCACAGCCCAGTTTGCCGCGCTGCCAAGTGCTCTAGTGGGTGGGTGGCATGCCTCATCTCTGCCTTCCCTGTCCCCGCTTCCGTGCCGCGCTGTGCTGCAGACGACATCTGCCTGCCAGTATGCGTACTGCCCTGCCAACTCCAAGTGCAGCGCACCCGCCGACGACCGCGTGCTAGTGTCGTGCCAGTGCGACCAAGGCTACATCGTTGTTGGCAACACATGTCAGCGTCCCGGTAAGCTTCGTATCAATTTCGTTCACCAAGGTCTCGTCGCAGTGAATCATGTTAGAGATTAAATGTTTTGTATGTAACTTCATGTACTCTAGATAGTGTAGTATCTTGTTCCCTCTTGGTGGTATACCCCCCCCTCTGCCACCTTTCTATATCTTGTACTCGTTGTTATTCTAAACCCCTCTTTTGGCCAATTTCCCTCCGAACTATTCGTATGCTCCTAGGCTAGGGTTTCTCCTAGCCTAGGTAGCTTTTTATCTTTACATGTTATTAGAGCCACTCGTTCCTCGGGTTCAAGTCGTTTTTCTTCCCCCATGGCGAGCGCCTCGCTGGCCCGTCGCGCTACGCTCACCCTCGCTGGCGAGATCGCGCCATTGGGCTTGGTACGCGACGAACGCCAGCGCGAGGCGCCAGCACGAGCACCAGCGCCAGCAGCAGCTAACGCCTTCTTATCTTTACAAATCACTCATCCGCCCTCCCTCTCTTGCTCCCCCTGAACGCTTTCTTGTCCAGATGCACCCACAAGCTCACTTCCCACGCTCTCCTTGCCTGTGCTGCAGTAACCACAGGACCTGCCGTTGAAACCACAGGACCTGCCGTTGACACCACAGCTCCTTTCAACGGAAACACCGACAGCTGCCAACGAGAACACCGCGACACCTGATAACGAGAACACTGCAACACCTGCCATCGAGACCCCCACCACACATTCCGTGTCGCGCTAATTGATCAAGCCACGATGCCTAGAAGGTTAGCAGCACAGAATATCCGAAGGAGTTTTTGCATCAGTAAAGAATCGATTGTGATGTGCTACTGCTGTTCGGAGCGTAAGCTGATGGGCAGGACAAGCAAGACCACGGCTTGTCATCAGATTACTAGTTAATCCTCCTGTCTGGGCTGGCTTATGTTTTCCCATTCATTCCGCCCGCACCTGACTACCGTAAGTCTCTAGCATTGTCACAAGATTCAACCTGTATCTCTTGTCTGCGAATGAGACAGAGCACTATGTTTCATATTTGAGAGGCAAGCTGATAAAGTGAGGGGTTGGTCCGGTATGGTATAAGAAAGCATGTACCGACATCACCCATGTTATGAGTTTTTACTAGACAGAGTGCGCGGAAGACTATATAAAAGGATGTCGAATACAGAATCACTGAATGTCACGACGATACAATAAGAAAGGCACGACTAAATAGGGGAAGTGCTAGCTAGGCGGAGAGGTTGGGCGAGGATGGCTTGGTGATGGTTGCGATTGGAGCGGAGGCAACTCGGGAGTGGTTCGGTGCGACGAAATAGGAAGGACAGGTTCGTCGCGTGACCCTCGGGATGGCCTCGCTAACAAGTGCCTCAGTAAGGATTCTGTAAATCCTTACAACCCGGGTATACCTCCAGGCCTATGTTACACCCATGCGGTTATAATCGTACTAGTGGGCTTATAGCCCGTTGCCAATTATAAGCCCACCCCAATTTCCGCAATCTTCGTATAAGCGCACCCAATGAATTTTGGTGTTCTTTGTAGCGAAAAAGCCACTAACGCGCCTAAACGAACCGTCACAGACATGCCTGACGAAATCCCACCCTGACTCGCTTGCAAAATTGCCGCAGGAGGTGCACATGCGCGAAATCTGCAACATTTGAGCAGGTGCTGAGCTGACTGGGATTCTTGACTGTACGTCACATTCTCGGAACTTTCCAGCAGCGATCCTCTTTGTGTTAGCATCGATTTACATCGCCAGGGTGAAATCTGTTGGGAACAATAAGTCTTAAGGCGCCTCTGTCGTGTCGAAACTCAGGACACTAGCGAAGTAGCCCAAATCGAAGCATCGCGAGTCAACCCTCGGAGGTTAGGGTAACCGCTTAGAGGTTACGGGAAAGTCAAAGGTCAGCGACCTTTGACTCGACAATTACAGCGCGACAGCAAGGACACACAACTGACTCGACATTGAGCAGTTGCCCGAGTCGCACTGTATCGAATCGCAACAGTAAAACGGTTTAAATCTATCTATTCGTATTCCTTGTACTCTTATATAAACCTTGTATTTGCTTGTTTAATCTAACTTACTTTGCTCTCACATACTAGTGCAAGGTGGTTCAACCACTCTGTATTACAACGCTTCCGCTATTACAATCCTACTCAGTCCTTAAACTCTACAAAGATCCTAGGGCTTCTCAGCCCAACATGGTATGAGAGCAGTTAGAGTTTAAGATCATTTTCTCTCTCAATACTTAAATACAAAGAAAGAAGGCATGTCTGCAAGGAAGGAGAGGAGCTCCTCCAACGGCTCCCCAGGCACTACTCCTACTCCACCTCCTGCCTCTAGCCTACAGACAGAGGAAGGCACTACCGCAAGACCAGCAGCTGGGTCCACGGAAACACCAGCAGGCTTTGATTCAAACATGATGGAGAAATTTTTCTCCTTCATGTCCTTCTACGAGCAACACCAGCAAGGAGTGCCTGCGCAGTCAAACAACAGCAACAACAACAACAATGTTACTCCGATGAGCCTCGACGGCTCATCCTATGCACGCGGGATGCAACAACAACAACAGCAGCCTACCTTTGCGCCGTACGAGCCCCAACGTGGCTCCGTCAGCTTCATGCCGCAACCGCAACCTGCATCGAGACAAGAAAGGACATTGGACGCGTTACAAGTCCAATCGCAATTCGCGCACGTCCTAAAACTACAAACGACAAAGCCTTTCGACGGGAAAGATTTCTTTACCTGGTCGTTCGAGTTTGAAGTGATGATGGAAGGAGCACAGATTCTTGGCTTCCTCGACATGTCCCTGCCATATCCGACAAACGGGACACAATATGAGAAGCAGCAGTATACATATCAATCGATGATGGCGTACACGATTCTGCTGAGGAACATCACCTCAACCCAGCAGCAGAACATCAGGACTTACCGAGGCTACGGCAACTCCGCGGAGCTCGCGTACAACCACCTGAAGAACCTGTATCAAGCAACAGACAGCGTAAACCAAAGCAGGTTAATGGCGCAATTGACAACGATTGAAATGAAACCAGGCGAGAAAGGCATGGCTTATATCAGCCGCTGCCGCGAACTGCACGACAAGCTCCTTCGATGCGGCGGGTCAATTTCAGAAGACGCCTTTGTCACGGTGGTCATCGGCGGTCTCGGCCCCCACTGGCGCTCCACTCGCGCCATATTACGAGCACGCGGGAGGATCTCCGAAGCGGCACTCTGCGCCGAAATTCATGCCGAGCAGCAGGACATGGACCTGCAAGAAGAAAGACACAAGAAGAAAGCTTTAGCACCAGAATTTGCTTTTCACACTCAGCGACGACACAACGGCAACAACAATCGACAACAGCAAGTGAAAACGGTACCTCCGTTCTGCCACATCTGCAAAACCTCGGGCCATCCTCGCACGCATTGCCCGTCTCGTCAGACGACACCACAGCGACAACTGCGGCCTTCAAGCTCCCAAGTTGCTTCAACGCAAGCAAGCCCGACAACCACGATCCAAGCTTCAACGACTTCAACTGGACAACCTGCACAAGGAGCAAGAAGCATCGTCAACCGCATGGTAAAGATAAACGATTCCTGCATTACAGAGTCGCCACCCTACTACTCACCGGAAAAGGAGCTCGACAACAGGACGCCTCGCCGCGAATCACTCCAGCCGAATACGACGTACGCCGCCATTCTCACCGGGAAATGGGTCTTCCGCATCAAGACGAAAGCTGACGGCACAATCGAGAAGTTCAAAGCACGCTGGGTCGTGCGTGGATTCGACCAGGAACAAGGACGAGACTTCACCGAGACCTTCGCCCCAGTTAGCCGACATACCTCTCTCCGCATTCTTCTCGCCGTCGCCGCCATGAAGAAGAAGAAGCTGCGACAGATCGATGTCGCCAACGCATTCCTCTATGCACCCGTCGACGCAGACATCTTCGTCGGACTCCCACACGGCACTCACGGAAACCCCAACCAAGTCTGTCAACTACTGAAATCGCTCTACGGAATCAAACAAGCCCCGCGACTGTGGCAACAGCACCTACACACCCGCCTCACCCGCATCGGATTCCGACAACTGCCTCACGACCAAGGAATGTATCGCCTCACCAAAGGCGCTGACTACATCTTACTGATCGTCTATGTCGACGACTTGCTTTACATCGGCTCTACCGACGACGTCATCACCTGGTTCGAAGGGGAGCTGTAGAAGGACCTCACGCTCACCGTCTCCTCCACCGTCACCCAGTATCTCGGGCTCAACATCCGCGAAGAAGAAAATGCTATCTACCTCAACGCCGAGAAATACGCCGACACTATCGCCAAACGCTTCTCTCTCACGCCTACCGCCATCGCCACGCCATACCGCCACACGACAGGAAGCGGCAAAGGAAATCCCGCTCCACTTAAGGCTGCCGGAATACGAGACTACCAGAGGAAACTAGGCTGCCTCCTCTTCGCAGCCGTAACCTGTCGCCCGGATCTATCCTACTCCGCGAGTCAACTCGCCACCTATCTCAAGAAACCCGAAGCTGAGCACATGGCGGAGCTCGATCGCGCACTGCACTACTTCGTGAGCACACCGACGATCGGCCTAACTTACTACAAGGGCGAAGCTACGACAACGAAACTAATCGGCTACGTCGATGCTGACCATGCCGGCGATTCTGATAACAGGCGTTCTCGTACCTGCTACGTCTATCGTCTCGAGCCTATCGGGCCTATCTCCTGGCAGTCGAGTAAGCAGGAACTAATCGCTCTCTCTTCAGCTGAAGCAGAATATATCGCCCTCTGCTCAGCCAACAAGGAAGGACTCTACCTTCGCGAGCTGCTGGAAGAAGCAAAGTTAGCTGAGTTACCCAACTTCACCCTGTTCTGCGACAACCAATCTGCAATTCGCATCGCCAACAAAAGCGGATTTGCGAACAGAACGAAGCATATCGCTCTGCGATACTTCTTCGTTGGATGAAATCGAGAAAGGGAAACTCGAATTATCCTACTGTCCCACGTCCGAGATGGCAGCCGATTATTTGACAAAGAAACTCGGAAAACAGAAGTTCGAGTACTGCATGCTGCTGACTGGACAAGGCCACGTCACCATCAGCGACACTCCAGAAGCGAAGGGGAGTGTTGGGAACAATAAGTTTTAAGGCGCCTCTGTCGTGTCGAAACTCAGGACACTAGCGAAGCAGCCCAAATCGAAGCATCGCGAGTCAACCCTCGGAGGTTAGGGTAACCGCCTAGAGGTTACGGGAAAGTCAAAGGTCAGCGACTTTTGACTCGACAATTACAGCGCGACAGCAAGGACACACAACTGACTCGACATTGAGCAGTTGCCCGAGTCGCACTGTATCGAATCGCAACAGTAAAACGGTTTAAATCTATCTATTCGTATTCCTTGTACTCTTATATAAACCTTGTATTTGCTTGTTTAATCTAACTTACTTTGCTCTCACATACTAGTGCAAGGTGGTTCAACCACTCTGTATTACAACGCTTCCGCTATTACAATCCTACTCAGTCCTTAAACTCTACAAAGATCCTAGGGCTTCTCAGCCCAACAAAATCTACATTCCGGTATTATAAAATCGAATTTCCATAAGAGTCATTTATTTAGCCCATGGGGTTATAAAAATTAGATCATTATAAGCCCACCCACCATTTTTCCAGGTTTCTTTAC